AAATAAATAAATTCAACCTGATTCCTTCCAAATGTTTTGGAGAATTCCCACAATCCCCAACCGAGGAACTGGAGCCTCCAATATTTGGATGGGACCAAGTTGGGAGAAGCTGAGCTACAAACTGAACCAAAGACTGGTTGTTCCCTGTTACCACACCTTCCCCACTCTTACTGGTCAGACTGCTAACATGTCATGGAATATGATCTATACCTCATTTGACTAGCTTAGTATTTTCTTTAAGGTCCCACATTTCACCCCTCTGCCAACCTAGCTGGGAAGGAATTGTACAGAATCAACCATTAGAACTCTGTAATTTCCAGATGTTCCATGTGACTAAACTTCCCACACAAATCAGCAGCTGTGCTCCTTTTTATCTGCCTATAAACAAAATGTTCAAAATCTCACTGAAAACTTATTTTTGAAAGGGAGTCATCACTCACTTGATGCTGCTTCNTATAAATAAATGAATGTATGAATAAATAAATAAAATAAGTCTTGCTTCTTCTGTATAAAGAGAGCAAAATAGTTAAATCAGAGGTTGGGGGTTTTCAAGCCAGAGATAATGCAGTTCCTCCTTATCCACCTTGGCAGGATGTTTGGACCCCCAACTTTGCCCATATTTACTCAGAAAGAATCAAAACAGACAATAAAGCCCATAAAACAATAACCAACACAAGTATTTAAGATAAAAAAGAAAACAGCACCCGAGCCCTTAATTTAAAACACCACAATTATAATCCAATGCAGTCTAGAATAAATAAACCTTTTATGTGTCTGGTAAAAGCCAGCTAAGAGGAGTCCATGGTCACTTCTCAGGGAAGACTCTGCAGGGGTGTGGAGACTTCACAGAAAAGGCCATACATTCCTCCAGCTTGTAATCCATGCTCTGTGATTACAGCCTTCTTATGAAAGAGTCAGCTATTTCCCTCTCAGAAAACTGATGCATGGGGCAAGCCTCCATGAGATATGCTCCCTCCCCAATTTCTACTGGTGCAGCCACCAATGGACAGAAATGGAAGGCATCAGACAAGCTGCAGCGAAAATGAGATCCCCAAATACAAGGAACTCAGTTCTTACTATTACCAGACCCTTCCAAATGCAGCTAGACTATAGCTCCCTGTAGCCATAGCCAGCACAGCCTATGGTGGGGAGTGCTCGAAGCTGCAGTTTAACAATATATGGAAGGCCTCAGGACCTCCACCCCAGAAGGAAGGCTTGAGATCTTCCAAATCTAGAAGAAGGGGTGCAGCCAGGTTCAGCAGAGCCCTCTGACCCAGGAGTTGCCATAACAGAAAGAAAAAGGCCTTAGAAACAGAATAATCAGGACAAGATTGGATGTAAAATTGTTAAAATGGGACTTAATCCTATATAATTACACCAATGACAAAGGTGAACATTTGGACAATTGTGGTGATGACACTGAGCTGCATTCCAGTCTTGAATAATGTTGATTGGGGAACCTAGACTTCATGTCAATTATCAGATGAAATTCTACCTCAGATAAATGAGCTTCCAAAATAAACTGGTTGGGAGGGGATAATGGATTGAGGACTACTAGCAGTGATGCTGAGGATTTCTTATTCAATGTGGGTGCATTAAAGATGGCATGCCAAGGACACAGGGCTGGTTTGGAGACCAGCTAAATGACCTTGAGGTACTTCTGAGTCCATGTTTCAAATGTCCTTCAAAGGAAGAGGTGTTCCCACTGAAGATTGGGTCATTTTTGCCTTCAATTT